TCCCCATATATCAATTAACTCTGCAACTAAATTTAACGTTAAATAGGAAAATTGCTCCTACCTAGCCCCTTATAGACGTCTAAGTGCTTGTTTGGATTGAGGGGAATAAGGGTGAAGGGAAGTTAGGGGAACCATTCACCTTCATTCACATTGTTTGGGAACGTATTTAGGAGGGGAAGATATTCATCCTACTTTCCCTTGGTTCACCCCCTAATAGTATAAAATTTGTTACCCACCAAATTGGGGTGTAACCAAGGGGAAGGGAACTCCATTCCCTTCCCTTCCATTCTCTCACCTAATTTCCCTTAACTTCCCTTCACCCCTTACAAATCCAAACAGGCTCTAAAATGTCAAGGAGAAACTGCAAATTCCTTCCCTTTGTATTTAAAGATTCATGTATTTTCCTCATGTGCGTACGTATTTGAACGTCTCTAAGATATCTTAAATACTACAGTATTGTCCTTCACCTCCCTTCTCTTTCATTTCCCTAGTGAAGCAATGAATCCTCTCTATCCTATACTTCTCTTCCTCTCTCAGCCACCATCTCTTCTGCTTTGCCATCAACCTTTTTGTTATCTCCTTTAGGCACCCCTCACATCTCCCTCAATTTCCAAGGTTCATGGAGGTGGATATGAAGGGAGACAACGAAGGAGTGGATGTTGGCAATAAGAATACAGCTTTTATCGCATTTAACTATTGGTTGTTGCCTTTTTGTGTCTAGCTATTACTTTTAGCTATTGTGAATTTGTTATATTAATGATAAATTTCTTTAAACTTTTCTCATTGAACCCTATCAATAATCGATACATAATTAAAAATGCCCTCGAAAGAGAATTTCTATTTTAATTAGTAGAGGAACTTAAAAAAAAATGGTCGCAGCCTTAGTAGAAGAAACATCGGTTAGATGATCATAGTTTAATTCATAATTCTAAAAACACCTATCAATTGTGTGATATTTACAATAAAACCTATAAAAAATTATTGATGCATTTTTTCTTTAAATATGGCTTTTTTCTGCAGGAGAGTGAATCTCCCCGAATTGTAATTTCCATCATCACCCCGGCCCTATAATATCGAACAAAGA